AATGGGACCTAATCAAACTCCACAGCTCCTGCACAGCAAAAGAAACAGTCACTAGAGTGAATCAGCAACCAACAGAATGGGAAAAAATTTTGGCAATCTACCCATCTGACAAAGGACTGATATCCAGAATCTACAAAGAACTAAAACAGATTTACCAGAAAAAAACAAACAAGCCCATTCAAAAGTGGGTGAGGGACATGAACAGACACTTTACATAAGAAGACATACATGAGGCCAACAAACATATGAAAAAATGCTCATCATCACTGGTCATTAGAGAAATGCAAACCAAAACCACATTGAGATACCATCTCACGCCAGTTAGAATGGCGATCATTAAAAAATCTGGAAACAACAGATGCTGGAGAGGATGTGGAGAAATAGGAACACTTTTACACTGTCGGTGGGAGTGTAAATTAGTTCAACCATTGTGGAAGACAGTGTGGCAATTCCTCAAGGACCTAGAAATAGAAATTCCATTTGACCCAGCAATCCCATTACTGGGTATATATCCAAAGGATTATAAATCGTTCTACTGTAAGGACGCATGCACACGAATGTTCATTGCAGCACTGTTTACAATAGCAAAGACCTGGAATCAATCCAAATGCCCATCGATGATAGACTGGATAGGGAAAATGTGGCACAGATACACCATAGAATACTATGCAGTCATAAAAAACGATGAGTTCGTGTCCCTTGTAGGGACATGGATGAACCTGGAAACCATCATTCTCAGCAAACTGACACAAGAATAGAAAATCAAACACCACATGTTCTCACTCATAGGCGGGTGTTGAACAATGAGAACACATGAACACAGGGAGGGGTGCATCACACACTGGGGTCTGTCAGGGGGAAATAGGGGAGGGACAGTGGGGGGTGGGGAGTTGGGGAGAGATAGCGTGGGGAGAAATGCCACATATAGGTGATGGGGAGGAAGGCAGCACATCACACTGCCATGTGTGTACCTATGCAACAACCTTGCTTGTTCTTCACATGTACCCCCAAACCTAAAATGCAATAAAAAAATCTGTCCATAGTGCACATGCAGGGATTGCAGTCCTGTGCCAGGCAGGGGACTGCAGGCTTCGTGGTCTTTTTACTGAACTCTACAAAGCAGGCACTGCTGTGTCCCGTGCTCCAGATGAGGAAACTGAGGCTCAGACAGGGGAAGGAACTTCTTGAAGGTCTTAGAGATAGAAGGCGGTGGGCCCAGACCTTCACATTGGGTCTCCCAAGGGAATGAAAGGCAAGCGTGTTTGTCTTTGTCACTGTCTCTGCGTGCTTGGACAACGAAGCATGAACAGCATTCAGGACATTAACTGGCCCCACTCTGACCAAGAGACCAGTCCCCTCCACAAAAGTCACTCTGCCAGGAGACGAGGCTGTGGGAAAGTAGAGCAGGCTACAGGCAGCCATGCACTTGGTCAGGACTGAACCACCAGCTCTCTGCGTGTAGCCCTGGCCAATTTCCAAGGTGTAAATACTCCCAGCATGGTTGATTTCAGGCAACCCACGTGAGGCCACTGAATGGAAGCTGGAAGAGATGTGGAGTACCTCCTCTCCTCATCATACCACACAGATGCGAAAGACATAAAACCCCAGGAGCAGAGAGAATAGCAAAATGTAGCAACATAATTGGTGACGCATTTCTAATAGGAAGTATTTCCTGGCTGCAGTATTCCCTGGGTGCAAGGCCTCACACCTGTAATCCCAGAACTTTGGCAGGTTGAGGCAGATGAATCACCTGGGCTCAGGAGTGTGAGACAGGCGTGGACAACATGGCAAAACCCCATCTCTACTAAAAATACAAAAAAAAAAAAATAGCTGGGCATGGTGGCACATGCCTGTAATCCCAGCTACTCAGAAGGCTGAAGCATGAGAAACGCTTCAGCTGGGGAGGTGGAGATTGCAGTGAATGGAGATCGCACCATTGCACTCCAGCCTGGGCGACAGAGCCTAAGACTGTTTCAAAAAAAAAAAAATTTTTTTATTTTAATATAAATGATTTGTGAGTTTAGATAACTTAATTTGTGATCATGGCTATGTGGAACAAAACTGACTCTCTGGAGAGGATGCGAGCCAGCTTCAGCACACACCCAGCGTCTCCCGAGCCCCACCAGCCCACAGCCCTCAAGGGTCAGGGCCATGGCTGAAGGTCTGACTCAGTGGAGGGTCAAGGAGGGGTTTCTCATGGGGAAGTCTTGACTTTGTGCATGTGGGGGCTGCTTCCTATCACCCTTGAGTACCTGTCGGATGTTTTCATGGAAATTAGAATTGGAATTGAAAGGGCCATGAAAATCAATAGGTTCAGCACCTTCATTTCCCAGGAGAGGACTGAGGACCAGAGAAGGGCAGCGAGTGGCCCAAGACTGCACAGCACATTAGAGGCGTCACTGTGATGATTCCTAGGCCAAGCACTCTTCCCAGCCTCCCTGCCCTCTGAGTCACAAAGCAACAGTCTCTCTTTGCCCAGGGCTTTCTCTGATGCACGGTTTTTGTTGTTGTTGTTGTTTTTTGAGACGAAGTTTTGCTCTTCTCGGCCAGGCTGGAGGGCAATGGCATGATCTCTGCTCATTGCAACCTCCGCTTCCCAGGTTCAAGCGATTCTCCTGCCTCAGTCTCCTGAGTAGCTGAGATTACAGGCATGTGCCACCACATCCAGCTAATTTTTTATTTTTTTAGTAGAGACGGGGTTTCACCACATTGGCCAGGCTGGTCCAGAACTCCTGACCTCAGGCGATCCACCTGTCTCGGCCTCCCAAAGTGCTGGTATTACAGGTGTGAGCCACCGTGCCCAGCCGGCACAGTTGTTCTGCCTAAACCTCGCCTGTGTCTAGGTGCTGAGGAAGGAGGCCAGTATCTGCTGATAACCAAGGAAAGTTTCGATTCAGCCAGGGGCCAGTTCAAAGTCCTTGCATCCTGACCAGTGGTGGCTAGAAGTCACTCAGCTCCTGCAGCCCCCCGGGCCTGTGTTTTAGAGACTCCCCCAAATCCACCGTGCATGTCAACCCTGAGCCTCCTATGTGGGTGTCACGGTGCTGGCTCCTATGACACCTTGGGACACGGTGGAGAGAAAATCAGATGACAAATTGGGAATCTCTCTGTGGCTGTGGAGCAAAAGTGCTCCTAACTACGGGTGAGGGTTAAATCGTCCTGTTGCACCAGTGAAGAGCACAGAGGAGTCAATCAAGTCTTAGGAGAGTCTCGCCTTCCTCAATGCCTCCCCACTGGCCAGGTCTGGTCTCCCAAGCAGCATTCAGATGCAACACTTCTGCCTGGGAGCCTCGGCTCATGCTGAGCCTTCTTCCAGGAATATCCTTCCTCCTCCTAATTCCTAATCCTTCCCAAGCTCCCATCAGGGTCTCCACCTCCTCCAGGAAGCCTTTGGTGACTACACCATCTCATATGAGCTTTCCCTTCTCCAAGCGCCTCATCATTTCACTCTACTACTCTTTCCACTTCCCGGTGGTCTCCTGTCTCTCGCCACCAGCAGGTGCCCAGCATGGAGACGGTGAGCCCTGGTGGCCCAGATTCACCTCAATACAATTTCATGCACCCCAACATGCCTGGAGTCATTAAACCTTCTCCCTTCCCTCTTCTCCAGCTGGCAAACTCTTATTCATTCTTTACAGCCCCAGGTCCACTGTCCCCATCCCTGAGAACCCTGTCTGACTCTCCCGGGGCAGAGCTGCACACACACGCATCTACCACTGCATCTGCTTATAATTCACTCACAAGAACACCAGGCGCCGACTTCATGGCAGTCACCAGGGGCACGCGCCCGTGAAACAGAAACTCGCCCTACCCCAAGGAACCCACATTCTACCCGTAGGCAACACCAACCAGAGTCACAGTTATTTGATTGAAAGCTGCCGAGATGCATTGACCGCTTGCTATGTTGCAAAGATGTTCTGCATACCGAGTCACGTAATCCTCACGCACGTGCCATGGGTGCCAGCGTTATCTTCTTGACCCCTCAGTGTGCAGAGATCGTCCTGGCTCACTCCGTCCCTGCGGTTCTGTGCTCCCTGGGGGGTGGGAGGAACCAAAAATGATGGCCTCCTCCACCCCATTCTCTCCTCGAGTGCCCGTCCTGCTTTCTAGCCTCCTCCACACTCACAAACTGCTCACGCGACGTGCTTTCATTCTCTCTCTCATTTATTCTCTGCTGCCCCCAGTTCCCCAGGCAGAGATCTGAGGTCTGTATCCCCACAGCCTAGAACAGTGCCTGGTAAACAGTGGCGACCCACGTGTAGCTGTGCGGAGGAACATATCCCTCTCTCTTTTGCAGATGAGATAGCTGGTGTTCAGAGAGGTCAAGCAGCTTGCCTGAGAGAAGCCACACAGCTGATGCGTAGCAGAGCCCGGATTCAAACGCAGACACCTGGCTCCAGCACGTGCGTTTCTTGCCACTCATGGCCTCCACCTTCTCTCTGTACTGCCATTCACCCAACTGCCTCTGCACTGCGACCACCCACCCTTGAGGATGGGAGCTGGTACCTCCTTCCTCTTATACCCACAAGACCCCACAGGGTGCCTTCCCCGGAGCGCTCTCTGCTAAATTCTGTTTAGGAGAATGTATTCACTCTGTTTGCAGAATGAATAAACCACCACATGAATGCGTAAGTGTATTTCAGAAACATGTGGTACTGATTATGGAGATAGAACACTCCGTTTAAGTCCTCGGGCTCTTAAATTAGATGCTGTCTTTCAGGAGTAAGTACACTTTTGCAACAAGGCAAAAGTGAGGCTCGATTCTCTTGCACAATTGTGATGTCTCTCTTGCCTCTAGACTCACAGGCAAAGGGCCTTTTTGTGGGGTGAGCCTCATCTGCCCGCCACACGACTCAGACACACACAGATAGGAAGATGCCTGCCCCGTCACGTTTTGGGGGAGCACTTACAGAAAAAGGCAGCGTCTAGACATCACTGCTCTCTGAGAGGCTGCCTCCCACCCACAGAGGCTGCCCCAGCCTCCCATCCCAGGCACTTACACGGGATTTCTCGGCCAGCCTCGCAGGCAATGCCCGTTTCCAGATGTTCTTGGCAGAGCTGGCGTGGAGAAGTAGCAGCAAGAGGCACAGAGCCTGGATGATCTGCCTCCTGTGGCTGCCCGGCCCCACGCTGGTTAAAGGCATTTCCTCCCTGGGCAGCGACCTTCCAGACGCACACAGAAGAGGGGCCCCTCTAGCTGCGTGGGCCTGTGAGTGGGGACAGGATCGTGCACGGTCTGCTGGGCTTTCTTAGTTCCACCCAGCAGGGTCCCTGGGATCGTGTGTCTGCATCCAGCACATGCCCCTTCCTCGATGGTGGCTGGCCTGCCCGGTTATTTCGAGCTTGCCCTATAACATCTGGCCCCAGAGGCTCCAACAAGGGCGTCTGCAGCCCAGGCGGTTCAGTGGGCGGCGGCAGCAGGAGGAGGGGGCATCAGCTTGCTTGGAGACGTGGCCGGGAGTGGCCTGTCACTCTCCACTCTCCATAATGAGCACTTCCTTGCAGGCTGGAGCGGTCTCCTCCCAGGGAGGTGTGCTAGCTGCACGCAGGGCTTGGGGCTGGACATGCAGGGGCGTGCAGCAGGATGGATGGGGGCTCGGCTGCCACCTTGTTTGCGTTTTGAGCTGCGCTGACAAACTATCTGCCCATAAAAGCTTCTTTGGAAGAGGCTGCTGGCCAAGGGTGCGGCTGTGGAGAGGCGACTCCCACCCTTGCACCCCTCGGTTCCTCCCCTCTGATGTGGGAACGTGGGTAGCTCCTCACAGTGTGTGTTTCTCCGGAGAGTTAAACGAAATTGAGCAGGTGAAGCGTTTCACACACATAAATGTGCTGTCACTGTCAGCCTGTGCATGTGCACATGTGTGCATGTATGTGTATATGTGTACACGTGTGCATGTGTGTTTTACAGGAATGTGCATGTGTGTGTGCACGTGTGTGTGTTTTACAGGAATGTGAGCTCAACATTTCACCAAGTTTTTATTTTCTTGTCTGTTCTTAGCACTACCAAGACACATACTGTTTTGTTTTTGTTTTGAGACAGATCTCGCTCTGTCACCCAGGCTGGAGTGCATGGTGTCATCATGGCTCACTGCAACCTCTGCCTCCTGGGTTCAAGTGATTCTTCTGCCTCGGCCTCCCAAGTGGCTGGGATTACAGGCATGTGCCACCATGGCCGGCTAATTTTTGTATTTTTAGTAGAGACGGGGTTTCGCCATACTGGCTAGACTTGGTCTCGAACTCCTGACCTCAGGTGATCCGCCTGCCTCAGCCTCCCAAAGTGCTGGGAGTACAGGTGTGAGCCACCTCGCCTGGCCCCAAGACAGATACTGTTTTGATGCCCACTTGACAGATGAGGAAACAGAAAGGGCTGCCTGAGGTCATGCAACAGCACCAGAGAGAAGACTGGAACCCAGGCAGGTCAGACCCTGTGGCACCCCCCAGGTGAAGCAGAAGGGACCCAAGCACTAGGCTGGACGCACCTGTCCAGTCCCAGCTCAGCCTCGTGAGATGCTGGAAAGCCTCTTGCTCATGGTCCTCAGTTCTCTCACCTGTGAAACGGGCATGAGAAAGCACCTGCCTCATGAAGTCGATGTGGGGCTATAGGACAGGGTGCCAGCCATGCCCAGCGCTTGCACAGAGGGAGTGCTCCAGACAGGTTTGTTCCTCCCTCCCTGGGAACTCTCACCCCCCCACCTCTGGCCAGCATAGCCTTCAGAACACCCTGGGAGGCAGCATCAACCCCTCTTGGCCTTTTGTGAATGATAATAGTAGCAAAGACATATATTATGTGTGGGTTGGGTTCGGTGGCTCACACCTGTAATCCCAGTACTTATGGAGGCAGAGGATCCCTTGAGTCCAGGGAGTTCAATACCAGTCTGGGCAACATAGTGAGACCCCCATCTCTATAAAAAATACAAAATTAAAAAAATTATCCGGGCATGGTGATGCACACCTGTAGTCCCAGCTACTTGGGAGACTGAGATGGGAGGATCACCTGAGCCTGGGAGGTTGAGGCTGCAGTGAGCCGTGATCACACCACTGTACTCCAGCCTGGGTGAACAGAGTGATATCCTGTATCAAAAAAAAAATTAAAAACCATATATAGTCTGTGTGTTAGGCACTGTTTGAAGCACTGCCTGCATTTTAATGCATTTAGGTCTCACATTAGCCTTAGAAACAGGTACTGCCTAGGATCCCAAGGACAGAGAGGCTAAGACACTCTCCCAGTGAGCACTGAAAAATGTAAGTTCACCGTCAAAGTCCTGCAAATGCAGGAGCCTGAGGCTGAGACTCTCTTTAAATTTTAGACCCTAGATGCCTCCTTTGCCTCCTCATAGGTCCAGCCCTGGTCGTCACCTTACCCTAAATTCTAAAATGTTCCTTCATTTCTTCATCCTGAAACTCCTGGTTGAGCCCTTATAGGGGCCTGGGCCAGGGTGCTCCGCTCACCCTCCTCTGTCAGCTCTTCTGGATGAAGTCTAAATGCCCCTCCCTGCAGCTGAGGCTGCTTATTCAGAAGCCAGGTGCCACCACAGAGGTGATGGAGCTCCTCCCACCACTTACCAGGACCACCTGGGACAGGTCCTGCCCTGTCTCTGTGCCTTCATTTTCTCATCTGTAAAACAGGGGTATGGAACCAGAACCCACTTGCACGTTTGCCATGAGGCCCAGCTGCGCTGGCACGAGGATCTAGGCTCAGCACACGCTTGTTGTTAGGAGATGATTGTTCTGAGCCGCCTCCTCCTGGACTTCCTCCACACTCATGCTTTTCCATGTAAGAAGCTTCCTGCTGCTTGGAACCTGGGGTCCTGTGCTCTCCTAGGGCAGCCAACACCTCCCACGTGGTTCCTGCCCATCCTCCGTCTCCTCCACCTTCCCCTTAAAACATAGGCGTTTCCCCGTTGATGTTACATTCTTGGCCCATTTCCTGTGTGTCTCTCTCTCTCCCTGGGTGGCCCCATTTCTGCCAAGAGTATGACTTCCCTCCCTCTGGGCAGATGATGTTCCAAAGGCCCTCTCTCAGCCTCCTTGCTGGTCAAGACACCGCCCCATGACCTGGCAGCGCCCTCCACCTGGAGTGCTTTTCCACCCAGCTGCAGCGCTCCTCACCCATCACCTCCTCCAGACTTTCGCTCATGTGACATTTTCTTGGTGTGGTCTCCTCTGACCCCAGGATTGAAAACCACAATTTCCATACCACTGAGACTCACAATGCCCAGCGTGGCATGATGCTTCTTTGTACTAATCTCCACCTGACGTATTTTATATTTTACTTACTTTGCTTTTGTTTTGTTTTGTTTATCATCTATGTCCCCACACTAGAATGTCAGCTCCCCTGGGGCAGCTTTTGGGGATCTGTTTGTTCACTATGGAATCGCCAATGTCTAAGCAGTGCCTGATGCAAAGTAGACACTCAGTGAAGACGGTGGAATGAATGAGTGATGCAAACACATTTCATCTCCCCGCTTGATGGTTCAACCAGGGTGTCGCTCTCTACCTGCGCTTCCCTGTGAAACGTGGCTGGTCCAAATTGAGATCTGTCATAGGGTTAGAATGCAAACCAGGTTTGGAAGACATATGAGTGCATGTTTCTTTTTTTTTTCTTTTCCTTTTGAGACGAAGTCTCACTCTGTTGCCCAGGCTTGGAGTGCAGTGGCATGAACTCGGCTCATTGCAACCTCCACCTCCCATGTTCAAGTGATTCTCCTGCTTCAGCCTCCTGAGTAGCTGGGATTACAGGCATGCACCACTCTGCCCTAATTTTTTTTTTTTTTTTTTTTTTTTTTTTTTTTTTTTTTTTTTTTTTTGGTATTTAGTAGAGACGGTTTCATCAGGCTGGTTTCAAACTCCTTACCTCAAATGATCCACCCACCTCGGCCTCCCAAAGTGCTGGGATTACAGGCGTGAACCACCATACCTGGGCCAAACGCCCTCTCTAAGACTCAGCCCCCTCTCAGCCAAGGCCATCACTGTCCAACCAGACACCTGAGCTCAAACCTGAACTTCACTGCTAACACCGACGTTGCTCCCCTCCATATCTGGTCTCTAATTCAGAATTTTTTTTTTTTTTTTTTTGAGATGGAATTTTGCTCTGTTACCCAGGTTGGAGTGCAGTGGCACAGTCTCGGCTCACTGCAACCTCTGCCTCCCGGCTACAAGTGGTTTTCTTGCCTCAGCCTCCCAAGTAGCTGGAACTGCAGGCACCCACCACCATGCCCAAGCTAATTTTTGAGTTTTTCTTTTAGTAGCTATGACGTTTCACCATGTTGGTCAGGCTGGTCTCAAACTCCTGACCTCAGGTGCTCCACCTGTCTCAGCCTCCCAAAGTGCTGGGATAATGGGTATGAGCCACCGCACCCAGCCTAATTCAGAATTTTTTAAAGTTACTATATTTTGTTTTTTTTTTCTCCTAATAGTAGCATAATTCATGTTTATTAGCAGAGAACTGGGAAAACAGAGGAAAGAATAAAGGAAATTTCTAAAATACATATATCTAGTATCAGTCTCCACAGATAACCAACGTAGCCTTTCTTTTTTTCCACGTATATATATTAGACATGACGGAAGTCAAGGCCAAGGCTAAAGTCAAGGCCGAGAGTGAGGTCAAGATGGCCATGTTAAGTAACATTAAGAACACAGACTCTGCACCAGATAAATGCAAATCAAAACCACACTGAGAGACCATCTCACACCGGTCAGAACAGCTATTAATTAATTACCAAGGCATAAAATGGCTGAGCACAGTGGCTCATGCCTGTAATCCCAGCACTTGGAGAGGTCGAGGCGGACAAATCAACTGGGGTCAGGAGTTTTCGACCAACGTGGCCAACATGACAAAACCCTGTTTCTACTAAAAATACAAAAATGAGCTGGATGTGGTGGCAGACACCTGCAATCTCAGCTACTTGGGAAGCTGAGGCAGGAGAATCGCTTGAAGCCAGGAGGTGGAGGTTGCAGTGAGCTGGGACTGTGCCATTGCACTCCAGCCTGGGCAACAAGAGCAAACCTCTGTCTAAAAAAAACCAAAAAAGGCATAAAACAGTAGATGCAGGAGAGGCTGTGGAGAAAAGGCAACACCTATACACTGTTGGTGAGAAGGCGAACTAGTTCGGCCACTGTGGAAAGCAGTTTGGACATTTCTCAAAGAACTTAAAGCAGAGCTGCCATGGTCAGGCGCAGTGGCTCAGGCCTGTAATCCCAGCACTTCGCGAAGCCAAGGCAGGTGGATCACCTGAGGTTGGGAGTTTGAGACCAGCCTGACCAACCTGGAGAAGCCTAGTCTCTCCTAAAATCACAAAATTAGCCGGGCGTGGTGGTGCGTGCCTGTAATCCCAGCTACTCAGGAGGCTGACCCAGGAGAATCGCTTGAACCCAGGAGGCGGAGGTTGCGGTGAGCCGAGATTGTGCCACTGCACTCCAGCCTGGGTGACAAGAGTGAAATTCGATCTAAAAAAAAAGAAAAAAAAGCAGAACTACCATGCAACCCAACAATCCCACGACTGAGTATATACCCAAAGGACAGTCATTCTTTCTGTCATAAAGACACATGCACTCCTATTTTTGTTTCAGTGCCATTCACAATTGCAAGGACGTAGAATCAACCTAAGCGCTATTCAGCAGTAGCAAGGATAAAGAAAACATGGGCCATGCACACCATGCTG